TTTTTTCAGGTAATAGGAGGAGAGAAGAACCATATGGATCCAAGCAAGTTGTAATAAAATATAGAAAATCATTAATAATTGTATTAAGCATGTAAATGAAAAAAAGGATAGTAAATTATGGAGTTCCGTAATTGTATTCCAAATGGGTTGTAATTGAATAATATGGGTATATATATGAATTATGTGAATTGTATTTTGATACGTCTATGGAATATAGTTAAAGGGTTTGAAGCCATGACCATGAATAGAATATGAGTTTAATTAATATATGCTTACTAAGGGCCTAAGAGGCCTTAAGCCCACCCAGGTCTTAGTGTCGGTCCGACCCTTGAAAGTGGGTGGTGACAATTTAACAATGATATCAATGAAAAATTAAATAAAAAATAAATGAACCAATAAAAATAAAAAGAGAGCATTATAAACGAAGAAATGAAAGAAGAAGAATTATATAGTAAATAAAAGTTACATCTTTATAGTCCAAATATAATTATGGAAGAGTATATGAAAGAGCTAATGTTACCTTTGATGAATAAAAAATTGTTCTGTGGTTCATAATCTTAAAAATAAAAATAGCAAAATTTAATATGAATGTAAGTAAATATAAATATATCAAAATAAAAAAGAAACAAAAGAAATAAAGAAACTAAAAAATAAAAACAATCGTTGAATTAAACTGTGTGGTTTGAGATTTAAAAGATAGAGAACAATAGAGTTATATAAATAGTGTTCAACTACAACTTATAAATTTCTAAATAATAGAAAAAATTTTCAGATTTTTAGATGATATCGTGATAAAAGGGATTGGATTAGTTAAAGAGGTTTAGGATTTATTTTTTTTTCAAATAAATTATTAGTGATAATAATATAAATTATATTATTTTTAATAGGAAAATAATTATATTTTTTTTGTTAAAAATGAATTAAAAGTCTAGAAAATTTATAAAAAAAAAAAAGAATTCTAAAAACAGAGGATGTCAAGTTAGCATTTACAAAAGATTTATGCTTCATGATTATATATATATACTTTTATAACATATAGTGTGTAAACTATAATGCATGGACACTTTTAAGGGTCTAGCTTACCGGTGTCATACTTATGTCAGACATCGACACTCTTCAAACGCTTTAAAAATATGTCTAACTATTTTTTTAATTTTATTAATTTTGAACACTTCAAAGACACTTCTTAGATACTTGTAAAAATTTTATAAACTTTCAAATAAATTCATTAACAAAAATTTTAAATTGAGGTAATAAATATAAATTAGATAAATATATATATTTAAATAAAAATTTACAACATGTGTAAGAAGGAAAAAACTCTAAATCATTATGTAGGGTTTAATTATAAGGAAAAATATTTTTTCGTCCTTGAGGTTTTATAAAATTATTCAAGTCGTCTTCGCATTTTTTACTATTAGATATTTAGTTCCCATCATTTGCTTCCGTCTTATTAAATAGTCATTTTATTTAAATTTTGAGGTTTTTTCATTAAATGAGACTAAAAAGTAAGATAGATGAGAGATAATATTTTAAAATGTCAAATACTACTCTTAATGAGATGAAAACCCTAGGATGAGGGATCACCTTCCTTTCCTTTCTTTCATAGGATTCTAGATCGCCTCCTTACCAACAAACCTGTTCTCTTCCATTGCCGGCGGCAGAACGGCTTAAAACTCATTTCCTGAGCTGCAAAGCAACCCTCACAACCTCATCTGCTTGTTTTAACTTCGATTAATAGTGTTCGAGCCGTTTCGTAGACAAATACTTCAAACGCTATCTGGAGCTTTACCAGTGACGGGTAAATCGTGTACAACGGGTTATTCTGGCACAGTAGTTACAAGTATCCAGAAAAAAACTTCTATTTGTATTTCCAAGACAAAAAGAAAGACATTTGAAGTGGTATCCATACAATTTTCTATCTGCAGACAAGCTTTAGCAATGGCATACAAGATTAGATTGCCATAACTTCGGCCTTAAAGAATTAATATGGCCAACTTTTTCTTCTTCTAAATTTATAAGTATAAAAAAAATGGTTATTTGCGCTCAAAAAAAATGGTTATTTTATAGCAACTGGAAACTGATACAAAATTGCAAGGATCAAAAGAATATGAAACATTTCTTCTCGTTTTGTGTTTTTGAGTACCGTCACCGTCTTCGCGTTCTCTTCTCATCCCACCTTTGTGACCTTTCTACGATGCCTGAGACCAAGTAAAGAACAACAATTGCCCTTTTAGGTCTTTGGAAACAATCAAAATTCAAGGTTTAGTGTTTGAATATTCTTCATTACCGGAGAGAGAGAGAGAGACTTCAAGATGCTTTGGCAAAAAGTGAGATACAACAATTTTAATGATTTTTATTAATATTATTATTATTATTATTTTGAGTTGTATAATTGCAAAAATGGAGATATGGAGAGATAAAAGGAGAAGAGGAATGGTGGATTTAATTTGTCTTATAAAAGGGGTATTTTACTCTTTTTACAAGGCGTTTGAAGACAAAAGTTATTAAAATTAGACGGAACGACCACTTAAATGAGTCAGAACCAAACATCAGGGACTAAATAGTAAAAATGAGATGATGAGTTGAATAATTTTGTAAAACCTCAAGGATGAAAAAAATATTGTCTCCAATTATAATTTTATTGCCAAATTTAAAAACTGATTTTTTTTTATAGTAATTTTCGACTTTTATCAAGAAGAAGCCTCATACTATTATATTGAAGAAATAAAAATATAGAACCTTGCAGGAGATCAATTTGACTCTTTTGAAGATATTGCAATTTTTAAAATTACTAATTTATCTTTAGATGAACTAGAGATGGAGGCGATAATCTGTAATGATGATGTTATTGTTGAATATTTAACTAATAAGATTAAAATAGAAAATTAAGTATTTTTTATTTTATGTTTTCCTCTTATTATTATTTTCTAGACTATGAAGTTTGGCTCATAATAATATTCGACGTCTTGTATTTGTTTTAGAATTTGTCTATTAGAGAATTTTTAAATACGGTATTAAAACATAGATTACACTAATATTATACCGTCTATAATATATATCCGTTGAACTCATAATATTGTTTCATGTATTATGATTTCGAAATTTGTCTACTAGAGCAATTCAAAACTGTGACGAAAGAGGAGGTTATTGCCTCCAAAGATTCATGTCTGTTGTGTAAATAGTTGCTTAGGAAAAAGGTCACCCGATAGCTTCACACGTTGAGGAATGTTTGTTATGAGTAATGGATTTTTGGTATAGGAATGGGACAAACTAACCCTAGAAAGTAGGTGAACAATGTGTCACCTAACTTCAGTTACATGAAAATTCAGAACCTAAAACAAAACTCGTGTTCTCAAAATCATGACAAGGGTGAAGGTGGGAATGGGTATTTGCTTTTTATTCTTTATTCTTTTATATAATCATAAAAAATATATTTTATATTATTAAACATTTTAAATAATATTAACTAACAAACATACATAATAATGAATTTTTATTGATATAATAATAATTACCTAAATGATTGCCCTTAATATCATTGGAGAGACAAGACAAAGGAGCTAAACTGTATAGTGATGGATCCAACACTGAAAATGTCTGTGCATCAGTCCCTTTCTTTTCCAAAAAAAACTTTCTTTTCCATAAAAAAAAAAAAAAAAAAAAAAAAAAAAAAAAAAAATCTATTATATCATTAAATATATATATATATATACTATATATATATATATATAATATATATTATATATATATAATATATTAGTTTAAATTTAAAACATTAATTCATATATATATATAGTTTAAATTAAACCAATTAATTCATTATTTTTTTAATATGTCAATCTCAATTTTTTTCATCTGTATAAAATAAATAAATTTCTAGACTTGCCACGGAGTATGAAACACGAATTCATTCATAGGATAAACAAAATTATTATCTCTATCTCTAATTGAGAGTGTTGATTAAATTAATAATCACAATAATAATAATCGTTTGATTAAATTAATATAAATAATCTTGTAAAATATAAGAAAGAATTATATTGGTGAAATTTAAAATTACAAGTAATTAATTCTTAAATGATTTAGGTCATATACCCAACTCAATCTATTAAATAGGACGATCTAAACTCTTTAAAAGAGCATGTAATTTAAATAAATTTCAGTCCGTATTGCTTGATAAATGAATTAGATTCACCTAACCTAAGATTTGAAAAATCTAAATTTGATTACACCTATTAGAAAAATTATATGGTTTTGACTAAATATGTTTCTCAATATAATTTAAAGATTGTTTGACTAGATCTAATAAGTTTTGTTTATTAAATATATCTAAAATCAATTTAGATATTTTTCTACCTTCATTAAATGTCTTAATTACATTTTTTTTTTCTTCTCTATGGATTTGCACCTTTTCCTATAATCAAACAAAAATTCAACATTCAACTAATCCCAAAAATTTTTTTCCTTGATCAAACATTGTTTTATAGTCTTAAAATCTTGAATCTTGGAAGAATTTTGCTGATAAATTTTTATGTCTAAAAAAGCCTCAATCTATTCTTTTGACAGCAATTACGTATGGCAGAACAAGGAAAGAGAAAATAAAGGCTTAAAATTCAAAGGTATTTGTAAAATTAAAAAATATATATATTTTTTAAAAGAAACTGTTTGACCGTTGTTGTTCATTGATAGAAAACACACCCAAAAAACATTACTACATAATTGTCTCATTTAGTGAGCAAACCAAAAAATTACTATTAAATACCAATTAAGTATAGTTTGATTAGTCTTTTCACTGATGTAGAAAGTGAGAGATTTTAAGTTTGAATTCTCTGGACTATAAGAGTTTTTATCAATTTGACTCGTTAGACCTCTCAATGAATAATAAAAAAAAATTACTGTTAATAAATTTTCAAAATATGAATTTTGATATGTAAATTTTGTATGTTATAGATATAGCAAACCTCAATACAACCCACAAACTCGAAATAAACTCATTGTTTAAATTCGATTCAAACTCACATTCAACTCCAAATAACCCAAACAAGCTAGATATAAGTCTGCACCAGGAAAACTCAATAACAAACTTATAATAAGGAAAATTTGTTCGAGTTCGCCAATTCCCCACATTGTATGATGAAACATGCAATGTGTTCTATAGTAGACTGTCCATCCTCCCTAGAAAATAAAGTAAACTCAGGAATTTTGTATCCTTTAGGGTAAATATTATCTCTATCAATCGCTTCATAATACGACTTATAAAATTCTAGGTGACCCATTTGTCTCTCGCCAAGCCCATAAAGCTTCTGTACAGCATCCCTTTAGGCTTCCAAAGTAATTTAAGAAACAGGAGGAACAAGCTTACCTGCAACTCAAGCAATGGGAACCTGCTAGCGATATATAAAGAACCAAAGGGAGAACAGTTCCCTTGGACCATGGCTGCCTTTGAAGCCAACAATCACTCGGGGCACTTGGTGTATTTGGACAATTTTTAATTCATATATTGCAAGGTGGATTGCAAGATTTGTGTGAATATAGACCTAAGGAAGACCCTGAAGCCTGCTAGCGGGACGACTAGATTGAAATAACGACTTAGAATGGTGTGTCACCTGCTCCTTCCTCCTATATGGAGGTTAGTACCTCTCATCTGGTTTGACATAAATTGCATCAGTGTCCTCTAGGGAACCTTCAAGCTGTGCCTCAGGCTCTCTACTATTCTTGGAAGCAAAATTCACTCCTTCAATCCTGGTTTCACGTTTATTGGTAAGTGATAAGATAATAGGAGATCCAACAAACTTCTCAAACATAAGTTTCATCATTTCCAAAAAAGCCTATGTTTGCTTTTCCAAACTCTAATTTCTTCAAGACTTCAGTCATCGAGAAAGAGTTAGTATCACTATTAAAATATGCAGGAGCCAACTTACCTTGCTCTTAGTTCTGCTTAGCAACAAAGATACATCCAGCTTCTGTGCATTTAGAATTTGGAGTGCAAATCTCTTCTTCCTCCTGAAGATTAGATCCTCCTTCAACATGTTCCATGCTTTATGGAATAGGGTTTCCAAAACATACTCCATTATGCCCTTCATTTTAGTCATTAGACCCAGTAACTTCCTTTCTAGAGTTTTTTTTTTTTTTTTTTTTTTTTTTTTTGGGACCCAGTAACTTCCTTTCTAGAGTTGTTTTTTTTTTTTTTTTTTTTTTTTTTTGAGGCGCTGATGAAACTTTTTTTTTTTTTTTTTTTTTTTTTTTTTGAGGCGCTGATGAACCCTAACAATAATAATACATAAAACAAATAGAAATTTAAGTATCAATAATGGTGTCCCACTAAAAGTGCCACTTATTATTTACACTGAAAATAATCAAAGATTGATTAACAGTTTGAGCGTATTAAAGTCTACCAACTATAAGTGTAGAAAGTATTGATTGTGTAAAAAATAAAAATGGTAGGAAAGCTACGTAGAAACATGGACATCGCTTGTATTGGAAAATATTATTTTAATAAGGATGCAAATGTAAAAGATAAATTGACAGTACTTGAAAAGAAAAATACAGTAGAACTCAAAAAAGAAATTGAAATAAAAATTGCTTAAGAATTTGTTGTTGATTTTGATTTTATAGAGTTGATTATTGTGGTTCATTGTTGGGGTCTGAGCTTGGCATTTATAAGGTATCACCCGGTTACCAAATTGCTATTTCCTCAATCGTTTAGGTGCGCAACTGCTAAGGTATAGTTACCTCAATCGCTGTTAATCATAGAGATCATGCAGATTAATTCCTAAGTCTTTTCTTATAACCACATTCTATTAACTTCTAAAATATATTTTTTTATTTATTAATTAGTTATAAAGCCCAAATTATCATTAAATTGACGATCCAAATCCATAGCCTATAATTAAAAATTAAGATATGGTGCAAGCACTATCATATATTCTTAGGCATTGGCTCAAGTTAATGTGCTAATAGAAGCATATGTATTTTCCAATCAATAAATATAGGATATAAAAATTAGACACAAAAGGGGAGGGCGGAGAGAGAAATGATACTATGATATATTTCCGTGAGGAAATTATTATTAAATTGTTGTTGCTATGATATGAAAAGCATACTAGGTCAAACAAGATATGGTGATCCAAATTATTTTCATTTTATTTATTTTAATATTTGAATTTATTTTCATATTTAAATAAATATATTTGCGATGAATCTCAAAATAAATACTTTTTCCTAGAAAAACAATACCTAACTTACCTTAAATTCTATCAACTTAATATTAAAATTTGATTTTCAAAATGCTTGATTCTGAAAAGAAACACAAATTAAAAAAAAGACAATGTAATTGTTTTTTTTTTTTTTTGTCATTAGCATACTTTTAATATGTTTATTTGCAATTATAATCTAATCGTTGAACGTCTTCCTTTCAATGAAGTCTATGCTACAAAAAGAAAAAGAAAAAGGAAATCTTTCGAGTAAGTTTTGTCGTTTAGATGAAGGAAAGGAGAAAAGAACGGGAAAGGAAAAGGAAGAGGAAAGGGGGGATGAATGTGCTGTCGTGCGCATGTGCAAAACTGTTATACTAAATGGGTTTTGGAATGCGTGGGACCCACACACCACAGTTTTGATTGGAAAAAGTCAAAATAATTAGTTATGGGCATTTGGACAAAAGGCTGTCTTACTTGAGCTTCAACATCCAGAAATGCCCACAAAAAGAAGTTAAAAAGTAAAAAGTAAAAACTCAATATATTTGGCACGCCACGCACGTGATACTAAACACGACGCGAAGTCCACGCGCCAACAAAAATATATGGCCAGGACCTAATAGGCCTAATATACGTATCCATCTGTCAACATTAAATAATAGGCCTAATATATCACAACATATTATGAACGGAATTTGGTTAAAATTAGATTTTGTTCAAAAAAATAAAAATAAAATAGAAATTATAAATTTAATTTTAAAGAAAATAAGCAAATAGGGTTAATCCCTATGTATCTTTAAATAAGTTGGATTTATTATCAGATTCGGATAAATATATGATAAGGTGAATAAAATTGCTACACTATATATTTCCTATGAGATAAGAGAAAAAAAAATATTAGATTTAATTTTAGGGATCATTGAATTTTTCATTTAGGTGCTCATTGGTCACTTAAATTTAATTTATTACTTATCAATGATTTAATTTTAATTAAATTTCAAATTGTTCAACAAAACCAATTATAGCGTTAAATCGATAACTCAGAACAATAATGAGCTTTAATTATAAAAAGAAAAAATTAGCTCTAAACCTTAGTTCCTTTTTGCTCTCGTCTCTCACTCTCTTTTCTTCTGTCACGACCCGTTTCCGTGGGCCGGACCGGCACTAGAGCCCAGGTAAGCTTAAGGCTCCCGAGGCCCGTAGTAAGCCTGAATCACTAAAATTAGGCTCCCGAGGCCCGTGTAGCCTGATCACTAAAATTATTATTTCAATTAAATTTTCAAACATTCAGGGCCCATTTTATAAAAAAAATAAACTCAATCCTTTTTATTAAAAATCTCGTGCCCAAATTATCAAGCCACAACATTCCACGGTTCGGAACCCCAATTATAGTAAACACTCACATTTTTAATATGGCTCACATAATTATATCGTCTCAGTTAATACACGACTAATTGTACGGCCAAATTCTACAACTGCGGAATCACTAACTAATAGATATACATAATTTTTAAGATCTAGATACATAGCAAAATATTTATTTGGTCTAGGGAAAATTTCTTTCTAGCCTCGCCGACGAAAAAGGAACATAGCTTAACGAATTAAAGAGAAAACTTACTTCCTGAAAAATTAACAAGGATATTATGAGCTTTCTAGAGTAACTTTATTGCACAACACCACACATCAACAATGTGTAAATGTATCATCTTAAGTCATCCGATAGTTATATGCTCACGGCAAGCCAGTCACCACAATATGACCATTGTCACCAGCACTCACCAATCATTAACATCTTCATATAATCACATCACGTGTGAAATTAGTCAGGGAGTCACCGAACCCCCGATGAGCCGTCCCTCCCACAATGGCTCATCCTCGGTCACATGGTTGCACCAGGGGAGCCGATCCCCCATACTGGCGACCGGTCTAATCCTCACTTGGACCAGCCCTCTCATTTGTTTTTCTATCCTCTCTTTCTTTTTCATTACCAAACAGGAGGCAAACCCGGTCGTTCTCCATCAAATCTAGATCATCAGGCGACTCACAACAGGAAGGCACCCTGCGGGCTGGCGATCAATCTAGATTATCCGGTGCGGGCCCAATAAAGAAGCCAACCTTGTGTTAATAAGTAACCGGTAACAGTAGGGGTGCACACGGGCGCCGATCTCCCATTACCGGCTAACAGAAACAGAGAATTCAGGATCCATATAACAGAATCAGAATTAACAGAAATCAGAATCAGGATCCGTTATATACAGAAACAGTCTCCAAACCCATGGTGACCCACTTTCATCCCAACTCCACACAAACAAAGCATACATTAAACATAATACAAATTAATCAAACATTGCAAATTAAGTGCAGACATATTGATCAGTTGGACAAACGTAAATAAAATGCACAACTAGACACCATCTCAAGTTTGCAATTAAAATAAATAACAAATAATAGTAAGAGAATAAAACAACATAAAATTAAATTATAATAATTGGAAAATAAATAAATAATTGAATAATGAAAATAAATAAATAATTGAATAATAATAATAATGATAAAGTAATTAAGGTACTTTATTTATTATGTATCATATTATAGAAGTTATCTAAATAAGCTTATTTATTATGTTATTGATTAAAATTTGTCTAAGTTCTATCTAAATTTCGGCAGCACCTCCCCTAAAAACGGGACTATCAACCTGCTCAAATATCGCAATATTATTTATATTTATCAATCAATGTACACAGCCCATCCGTCGGGCAATCAACAATTTAAGTCCCATCCTCCTTTCAGTACAAGTATGTCAACGTTCACCAAAATCTAACAAATTATAATAACCTACAAACATGTTTCCAATGATTGTATATTATTGTCCTCTAACTAATTATTCAAATAAATGTACCACTTTATAAAATAAAACTTGCGCTTCGATAAGTTAATTCTAAACTGCCACTAAAACATCCAATGCTAACCTAATAAAAATCAATATATATATGTATATTATCTACGTTAGTATAATCTTAAAAGGGCAACCCGTACTGAAATAGCTGCGCCCCACCAAGAGAAATTAGCTTCACTTGGACTTATTCTACTTGACTTAAACTTATATATAGTAAACAAACTAACTCATTTCCCATCAAAATTTAAACTTAACAACAACATATAATTCATATCAAAGCAAAAACTCAAGGGAAAAGCTGAAATGGTCGCTGCCATCCAAAGTTTCGAATTTCTTTCGCCAAAATCTGCTGTAAATTAAATAATTGATTCATATAGGTAAGACTTCAGTTTATAGTTCGATTAAACAATTAAAGCTTCATTTTCCTCCATTTTGGTATACCTCTACCATTTCCATTTTAATTAAGGCAAATCCATGATCAAATTGTTTATCTAGCAAGAATAATATTATCGAGTACTAACCGTCCTTAGCTCAAGTATTAATAATATAATTGTTGTAAAATTTATGCTATGCTTATACTTAGGAATTATACTACATTTATACATTATATTATAGCTAGCAATGTCTCTTAAAAATTCTAAGCTAACATGTATAGATAATAGCTAGATTTCTCATTCCTAGACCAAAACTGTTAACCATAATAACCCACTCAACTTCATCAAGAAACTCAAATAATAATTCCTAAGTAGCTATGCTTATATAATTCCTGAGCAAAACACAGGCAGTAGCTAGAAATGTACATTCCTATACCCCTAGAAATTGTAACATTCTGTATACCCATATTATTTAATTCATGATACCCTTTAAATTAAAAATTTTAAAAAGAACTATAAACATATGAACTATAAACATATTATAAATGGTTAGAATTTAATTACCTAGTTAAACAATTAGCGTCGGAAAAATGAATTTTCCGGTTAGGATGACCGGAAACAGCTCCAGCTATCTACATTTGCCCCCTGCCGGAGTTGAGGAAGAC